AGCATCTCCTGTGGACAGAAGCAGTGTTTCTATCAACTGTCACAGAGTTTTGCTGTGAATGGTCCACACAGCTGTCCTCAGCAGCCTGGGATAGGGTCAGAGGTTGAGCTTCAGGGCTGGGGGTGGGTACATAGCTACACGGTCAGAAGACCTGGCCTTCATCCTTCTGTTTGTTTTTTTGTTTGATTGGTTTGGTTTTGCTTACATTTACTATGTAGCCCTGGCTGGCCTAGAACTCTCTATGTAGAACAGGCTGCTCTTGAACTCACAGAGATACCACCTGCCTCTGCCTCTGGAGTGCTGGGATTAAAGGCTTGAGCCATCAATTGCCTAGCCACTCCCATTTATCAGATGAATAAATTGAGGCTCAAAGGCAGCCAACTACCAGTTTTTAGTCCTACAGCTAGTCTGGAAAAGAGTTGAGATATGAATATTATCCAGGTAGATGCTTACAATCCCCATGGAGATCTGGGCATGGTGGCACAAATACCTGTAATTGAGACACCCAGGAGTCTGAGATAGGAGGATTACTGTGAGTTTCAGGGCTACCTGGGCTACAGAGTGGATCAGGGTCTTCAAAACCCAAAATCAACCAAAGCAAGAACAGGTCTTGTGGTCTGGAGAAGGGGCTCAAGAGCCCTGGCTGCTCTTGGGGTTCTGTTCCCAGCACCTCCATGATGGCTCACAATTGTCCACAACTCCAGCTCCAGGGGACCTGGGACACTCTTCTGCCCTCTGCCGTCTCCTTCACATAACATGCTGCATATAAACACACTCAGGTACGCACGCACATGCACATTCACGCGCGCGCGCGCGCACGCACACACACACACACACACACACAAACACACATATACACAAACACACACACACACACACAGAGGTAAATACTTTAAAGAACATACTGTGGGAGCCACCTGCAGAATAACCCCAAGGTTGACCTCTGGCCTCACATCTGGCCTGGTCTGTGATTTCTGGGGTTCTCACATGCTTATGGGTCCCTGCTTGGCTCTGAGTGTAAGGGTGTTGGGGACTTGCTGGGGTGTTCTCTGTGAGTCGTCAGTCACACCTTTACTTTCTGCACACAGCACCTTCCACATCCGAATATGACCTGCTCAGAGGACAAGACCTGGCCCTCAGCCATCTCTGCTCTGCTCCCTGAATAAAAAGGAATCACAACCGCCGCCTTGGGACGTCTGCCTTTTGCTGTGTGGCCTTTGGTGTGACTGTACTCACTCTGGGTTGCCATCTTGGATTCATACAACAAACTGATGACTTCTGGACCTAGAGCTCCAGAGGGGCAACTACTTCACAGTTAGCACATGGAAGAAGTCCAAGGCCATACCACAGCTCCTTTCTAGAGGCCAGCCTGAGCACAGGATTGCCTAATTTTTCACTCACACATCCATGTCTTGTGAGTTCCAGAGCCCAAGGTTGTTCCAGGGCCTTTGTTTAGGGTTGAAAAAGTAGTTATCTCATCTCACAGCCCAGTCACCCAGAGTCTTTCCAGACCACTCACCCAGTGATTAAAGGCCCTGGGTCCTGGGGCTGGAGAGGTGGCTCAAAGCTATTAACAGCACCTGCTGCTCTTGCAGAGGACCTTGGGCTGGCTTTTAGGAGTCATATGGTGGTGACTCTCAACTGCCTGAACTCCCATTCCGGTAGACCCGATGCCCTCTTCTGGCCTCCACGAGCAAGTGCACCAACACACATATACACATTTAAAACTGAGCATGGTGGCTCACACCTTTAATCCAGGACTCAGGAGAAGAGGCAGGTAGATCACTGTGAGTTCAAGGCTAGCCTGGTCTACATGGTGAATTCCAAGAGAGCCAGGGCTATCTAGAGAGACCCTATCCCAAACAAAACAAAAAATAATAAAAATAGGCCTGGCCTGGTGGGGGCACACATTGAGTCTAATAAGTAATAACTCAGGAGGCAGAGGCTGTTCTGATACAGCCAGGAATACGTAATAAGAGTCTGTCTCAATTTATGGTGGTGATGATGAACAAAAGCCCCAGGTCCTCCCTGTCTCTTTTTTGTGTGTTCCCCTGAGAAGGGACTGCTGTCTTCACCATCTTCTAAGTGAAGAAACATGCCCAGAGAGGCCTATGCACATCAAAGAACCCTTCAGGGGATTCCTACTGCTGATCCCCCGCCCTGTGAAGGTGCCTTTGTGTTTGGGGGGCGGGGTATGCATGTGTGCATTGCAGAGGGCAACTTTGGCTGGTGTTCCTCAGAGGCTGTTCACACTGGTCCTACGGTTTTTTATTATGTCATTGGTGGGGAGGAGTTACACGTGTGCCACAGCATGTGTGGAGGTCAGAGGACAGCTTATGAGTGAGTGGGCTCTCTCCTTCCAGCATGGACCCTGGGGTTCAAACTCATTCTCAGGCTTAGTGGCAAGTGCTTTTATCTGAGTCATCTGCCCAGCTCAAAATCCCCCCCACTACTCCAGACAGCGTTTCTCTGTGTAGCTCTGGCTGTCCTGGAACTCCTTCTATAGACCAGTCTGGCCTCGAACTCACAGAGATCCACGTCTGCCTTCCAGGTGCTGGGACCAAAGGCATGCAACCACTATCACCAGGCTCAGATAATTTTTGACTTAGGTCTGGAATCCACTAAGTAGGCTAGTACCGAGTGAGGTGTGGCCATGGTGGGGACAGAGTGACATGGTTCCTACCCCTGGGACAGGGCCCAGGTGTGAGCCTCCAGGAGTGTCAATGGTTGCTGTGGATTTAAGGCCTGTTTGTGTAATAATGTACATATTTTCCCAGTCCTCTGAGGAATGTCCTCTGTTAACATTAATGACTCCATGATAAGCAGACAGCATGGGTCCAAGAGCTGAGGGTGTGTCTATGAGTGAAATGGTAAACACTGGGACCTTCAGGACAGCCCTTAAGGCTGTGGGAAAGAGCTCCAAATACATGAGTTCAAAATATATATATATATATATATATATATACACACACACACACACACACACACACACACACACACATATATTCAACTATGCAAAATATAAGGACGCAATATGAATTGTCTAAGGGGCTTCACAGATCTAAACAGAGGCAGCTACAGAGGCAGCTTCACTATGAGCCAGCTTGTCAGAAAGATACAAAGGCAGGCAGATTCCTGAGTTCAAGGCCAGCCTGGTCTACAGAGTGAGTTCCAGGACAGCCAGGGCTACACAGAGAAACCCTGTCTCGAAAAACCAAAAAAAAAAAAAAGAATCGGAGTAAATGACTAGGTTGATATGTAAAATAAAAGACTGCACCTGTGTTCTGCAAGAGAAGAGCCGTCCAGAGAATTTTTTAGGATAAAAAGAGAGAACTGCTTGGAGGACAGACACAGAGAGATGCACACACAGACATAGAGACAGACAGACAGACAAGCAGGACATGGACAGAGAGATCTCTTAGAGTAGCAAGCAAGCAGAATACGACAGAGAAATCTCCAGAGAGAAAGCAGAACACAGGAGCAGACTGGGAAAGCGGCAGCAGGCAGAGCACAGCTCGGCAGCTCGGAGCCACGGCTTGGCTCCCAGTCGTTCTTTTCACCGCTCCTAGACATCTCTTCTCTCAGAACCCCTCTTCAAGCCGAGGCTGGTCCTGGACAGGCCAGCAGGCCAGTGAACTCCAGACATCCTCCTGTCTCCACCCTCCAGCACTGGTTTACAAACTTCAACTGTAATGGTTCTAGGGATGGAACAGGTCTTCATGCTCTACACAAGCACTTTACCCTTGGAGATAGCTCTGCAGCCCAAACTGGCTTCTTAGAGGGCTCCAGGCATGTGCCTGTATTCCTCATGGCTGGCATTGATGCCCTACTGTGTGCTAAGCCTCTGGCCCAACTTTTTAACTTGTTGGGAGGGAGAGATATCTGATCAACAGTTACAGGCCCAGCTGGTGGGTGTCCAGTGGGCTGAAGGATCTTGACTCTGGTGTTAAACAGAGTACACAGGGATTGAGAAGGCCAAAGACACCCCCAGTGCCAGTGCGGGCAGACACCCCATGCACAGCCTTGGCTAAGCCACTTCACCACCTGAACCTCAGCCTCTTCTTCAAAATGCTGACGATCACTGTATGTTACAGATTTCCAGCAGCATTGAAAGGTCATGTCCAGTTGTCCCCAGTGGGATCAGGGCTTGGTGCCAGCCTTCCCCATCAAGGAACCCATACTGCAGATTTGCACAGGACCCATGCACAGCCTTCCATAGGCCTTAAAAGTCTACATAACTTGGAATAGTGATGCAATGTTGAATCACTATTCCAAGGTGATTGCACTATTGCAATGCAAGGTGTCTAAGTGACACCTTGGGTCACTTAGGGAGACAAGAGAGGAGCCTCACATATTCAGTAAAGACGCATTTCACTTATTATTTAGATGAGGTCTCACTGTGTAGCCCTGTAACTCACTATGGAGACCAGGCTGGCTTCACACTCACAGAACTCTTCCTGCCTCTGCCTCTGGAGTGCTGGGATTAATGGTGTGGACCACTATGCCTGTCTCAAAAATTTTCTTCCAGTCAAGCTTTCATGTAGCCCAGGCTAATCTCAAACTCCAGGCAAGCCGAAGCTGGCTTTGGGCTCCTGACCCTCCCATCTCTGCTGCCCAAATGCTGGGGGATATACCACACTCCTGGGGGATATACCACACTCCTGGGGGATATGCCACACTCCTGGGGGATATACCACACTCCTGGGGGATATAACACACTCCTGGCTACAATGCAATCATTTTACATCCCCTCTCTCCCCTCTCTCTGTGTGCTCTATTGTGTGACTGTGGAGCATGGTGGACTGCCTGCATGTCTGTCCTCCACCTTGTTGAAGCAAGGTCTCTGCATTAGTGCTGCTGTGTAAGGCAGCAGCTACTCCCCTCCTTGTAGCTGCTCTGAGGACACACATGTGCACTAGTGCATCAGCTCTCTGTGGGCTCTGGGAAACTGAACTTAGGTCCTCTCAACCTTTTACTCACAGATGATCCAAAGCTTTCAGAAAAAAAAAAACAAACCAGTTTATTCCCGGAGCTGAGGACTGAACCTCAACACTTGGAAAAACACTTTTCATTGAATGCGACTGAAGGTGAGGTATGGACCCCAGGCTACTGAGGTGTATCACGTGATACGGCCTGGCATATGTGGGCCACCAAGTCTCTGCTGCAGTCTTTTAAAGTTATATCTGCTTATGAGTGTGTTAGCACATCTATGTGCAAGTCTGAGGACACCCTCCAGATACTGGTCCACAGCTCTCACCATGTGCGTCTTGGAAACAGAACTCGGTTGCTGGGCGTGACTGAAAGTTCTTTTACCCTCTTATCCACTGGGCCATCTCACCGGGTCCCTAAAGTGGTAGCAGTAATTCTATTATTATTAAGACAGCCAGCTCCCTCAGCTGGTTCCTGCAGGATTCAGCCCCTTAACCTCTTCAGCACAGTTCTTTGGCTGTGAGGACAGGGGTGGGGACTGAAGAGATGACGAATACCCAAGATACAGGTTCTATTAGTACCCAGGGGCAAAAGGTGGTGGCGGGAGGTATTCCTCGGGCAGCCAGCCCTGGTCTTCTGGCAAGTCCACAGACTCCTGGGCTGACAGGGCCCTCACTACCTTTCCACGCCAGGCTTTGACCCCTGAGAATGCCTCCTTCCAGCTGGTAGGTCTGGAGTCCCTGAAGGTGGCTTCTCTGCCTCTCAGGGCCTGGGGCTCTGCAGGGTTTTGGAGAGAGGTGGTGGCTGCACAGGGGTCCTGGGAGTGGCTAGAACTGTCCCAGCTGAATGCTCGAGTCACAGGGCTGTGGTGCTGCTGTGCCACACGCCTGGCATCCCCCAACAGGTTCATGGCTGACAGGTGTGAAGTGAGTCGCTGTTTCACCCTCCGGCTGGTCTGAGGTAAGGACCTCAGGTTCTTCCACAGTTTCTGTCCAGACTCCTCAAAAAGAGCTTTTGGGGAGCAGGAAGCCGATGCGAATTCTCCTTCAGTTGTTGTGGATGGCTTCCTTTCAGAAATCTGGAACAGAGACAGGGAGGCCTGAGGCCCAGCTGTTTAACAAAGCTCCAGGCTGCCTCAGAACGCCATCTCAGAACCCTGGAGCTTCTAAGCACCACCCTTGGCCCATCTGCCCATCTCTATGCATGATTTTCCCACCTGGCCTGAGGTTTGGGATGTTTTCTCAAGAGACACAGTTGGGCTGTGGGTATGGCTCAATGAACTTACCCAACATGCTTTTGGGGAAGGTGTCTGTTATCAGCATCTCCCACCCTTCTCATGTGGGGATAGGGTAGGGTCACTCAGTGCCCCCTGAGGCCCCTACCCACAATGGTCCATATACTGCCTTCTGTTGCTCTGTTCTGCAGACACACAGAACTCCAGAACCTTTGCACATGTTCCCTCATTCCCAGAGATGCTCTTCCTGCATCTCTGTCTGGTGTGGCCCCTCATCCTCATAGCCCAGCTCCTTGAAAACTTCTCCCGGATGCTTTCTCGGACTTGTATCCAAACATATATCCAGAATACCAGCTGGCTCCACCTTCACTGCTGTCAGAACTTTCCACCACACAGGAAGTACAGCAAGTACTTCATCCTAAGGGTCATCCAAAGGCCCCGCTAGCCTCAGGGAGCCACACACACATATCCGCCACTGATTCACCAATCTAGACTGAAGATTAATTGGTAAGCTCCTTCAATAAGCTGGTCCTTTAATTCCAACATTCAGGAGGCTGAGGCAGGAGGATCTCTGTAAGTCTGAAGCCAGCCTGGACTACATAGGGAGTTCAGGCCAGACAGGGCTACATAGTGAGGCCTGTCTCAAGAGAAACAAACAAAAAATATGTCAGGTTTTCTTGGAGGAGGTGAAGACAGCAGTGCAGAAAAAGCCACCTGGACTGCAAATCTGGGTGGGAAAGACAGAAAGGAGCTGTATACACCCAGAACAAACAAGACCCTCTCAATTCGGAAGTTGTTCTCTGCTACAGGGTGATGTGTGGCGGTGGAAGGGGAAGGGGGACACAGGACAATGGGGACTCTAGATCCAGGGACTAGGGAGGAGACACCTGAATAGGGGTTCTACAAGAAAAAGTCAGGCTAGTGCAATGGCCCTGAGGAGGAAAGGCCTAGAATAGAACAAAAAGGTTGGCTTTTGAGTCTGAACAGAAGAGGCTGCTGCCGGGTGGGGACCTGAAGTTGCAGACTTAGTGGGTGCTTCTGGAGGGGCTGGGATTGAACCCAGAGCCTTAGGGTACACCGGACAAGGACCCCACTACTGAGCTACACAAACCTGGTGACTGAAAGGTAGAATCTTATCTCAGAGTCTAGAAATCACTGGATTTTTTTTAATTACCTAGCTACAGAAGAATTCTTTCCTTCCTTTCTTTTCTTTTCTTTTCTTTCCTTCTCTCTCTCTCTCTCTCTCTCTCTCTCTCTCTTTCTTTCTTTCTTTTTGGTTTTTCGAGACAGGGTTTCTCTGTGTAGCCCTGGCTTTCCTGGAACTCACTCTGTAGACCAGGCTGGCCTCGAACTCAGAAATCTGCCTGCCTCTGCCTCCCAAGTGCTGGGGTTAAAGGCATGCACCACCACTGCCCGGCAAGAGAACTCTTTCTAGATAGAAAGGGCCTGATCTAGCAGCATCTGTTTCTGCCTGGCCCCAAGCCAAGGTGAAGGTGTTCAGGGCCTACCTCCTCAGGTGGGCAGGAAGAAGGCCTTTGAACTTCCGTTCTCAGAACTTGGCTTTCAGTATCCTGAATCAGGGCATTCGAGTATAGGAAGAGATCTTCGTAGTCCACGTTTGCTGGATCTTCCTGCAAAATGTGGAAGAGTCATAGCACTCAGATCCAGCATTGAGAATGGCTGTGGAGGGCATCCTGGGGTGGGGAGCCGTCTACAGAGCTCTGAACTCAGGCCATGCCCACAAGTCTCAGAAGGAAGTGCCCCATCTACCATTCTCAGACCGTAGCCGTCTGAGGAAAGAGCTCCTCCCACAGCAGGTTTAGACCAAACCAGAAGCTGAAAGAGCCCAGCTCACATCAGTAGGCCACGCCCAGCAGCCGAGGACAGCCATTCCTGCAGATGAGCCCTTGTGAGGACCATGCAGGGGGCTGCAGGGCCAGAAGGTTGTTGGGCAGTTGGGAGTGGCCTGGGTCTAGACCTCTGGCACTCCCTTGCCACTGGCTGGGGTCCCCTTGCCCCCACCTGCCCGCAGGCCTGGGTCAGCAGATCCCCGAATGGTCGAATAGGATTTTGTTGGTGGAAGGTGATCAGGGCGTCTAGAGAGGCGTGGGTAACGTGGTCCCCAGCAAAGGCGAAAGTCCCATCTTCTGAAAGCTTCACCATGAAGTGACGGCAGCAGGTCTGGGCTCTGTGGAGACACTGCTGGGGTTGGGACGCTGCCCTGTGCACCATCCTCTCAGTGCAGCTCCTGTGCCTCAGTTTCCCCAGTCACCACATAAGGTTTCTAAGGCCCGTTGCAGAAGTTCTTGGGTGGATGAAATAAGCAGATATAAGCTAATCGTGGCGGTGCCTGCCTGTCATCCAGCGCTGGGGAGACTGAGGGCAAGAGGATGGAGGCTTGGAGGCCAGCTTGAGCTACACAGAGAGATTCTGTCTCAATTAAAACAGTAGTAGCAAAATGATAGTAATCCTTTCATTTTGAAGACACCATCTCATGTAGTCCAGGCTAAACTTAAACTTAACATGTAGCCAAGGATAACCTTGAATTCCAGATCCTTCTGCCTCAGCTTTCACTGTGCTGGGTTAACAGCTGTGCATTCACATACTACATAGAAAGTTCAAGGTCAGCCTGGTTTGAGACCCTCTTCCAAAATAGGCAGGTAGAAAGATGGAAGGAATGAAGGAAGGAAGGAGAGAAAGGAAGAAGGAACATGGGAGAGATGGAGGGAGGAAAGGAAAAAAGAAAAGAGAGAGGAAGGCTTTACCTTGAATGTTCTTTTTTTTTTTAGGTTTTTTTTTTCGAGACAGGGTTTCTCTGGGTAGCCCTGGCTGTCCTGGAACTCACTCTGTAGACCAGGCTGGCCTCGAACTCAGAAATCTGCCTGCCTCTGCCTCCCGAGTGCTGGGATTAAAGGCGTGCACCACCACTGCCTGGCTACCTTTAATGTTCTAAGAAGACAGAATCAAGCTTGGGGCCCAAGGAGCAGCCCTGGCTTCCCAGATCCAGACTAACTTGAAGGTGAAGGATGGAGGAGGCAGGGACCACCCTCAGATTTCTATCTGCCTCCTTCCTCAGACACAAATCTCAGGTCCACCCCAGTGTTCTAGCCAGGTCTGCAGATGTGAGCAGACCTCTCATGCATGGGGAGCACCTTTACCCTCTCCCAGGAGCCTCAGTCTAGCCTCCCCGTAGCCTTACTTGTAAGAAAGGGTGTAGCCCACATGGCTGTGGCTGACTCGGATAAGAAAGGTCCCCAGGGGTTGTGACTTCAACAGGTTCTCAGCAGCTCTGGAGGCACAAAGGAAGACTGGATGGGTATGGAGGCAAGCAAGCATGGGGGATAGCTTAGCAACCCAGGGTTTCATTTGGCTCTGACTATGCACATGACCCTCTGATAGTGCTGTGATTGGCAGCCTGGCTCTCTCACCTCGCTCTGTGTGCTCACGTGCACCCTCCTTCTTCCCTCAGAGCAATGCACACAGCAACCATGGACTTCCATGTGTACATCTCTCTTTTTAAATCAGGGAAGTTTCCTCACCCCTAAAAACAGTCAAATTTAGTTTCTATTTGTATTCCCAATGTGTATCTAAGACAAAGAACTAAAGAGCTGATCCAGGACTAGCCAGATGGCTCAGAGCGTAAAGAGACTTGAAGCCAAGTTTGTCTGCCTGAACACTGGAAGTCTGAGGCACTCACATGGTAGAAGGAGAGAACAGATTTTCACAAGTTATCTTCTAACCTTCATACACATACTAAAGAAATAAAACATAATAAAAATGTAAATATCTTGTTACAAACAAAGAAAAAGTCTGACCCAGCCTCAGCTGCTCTTGGGTAGATGGTCAGGCAAATGGTGGGTGTCCTTCAAAAGGGCTTTTGGGCGAATCCTTCATTTCTCATCTTATACCTGTGCATAACTGGGCATGCATATGACTAGAATCAGGTACATTATAGTACAGACCTATAAAATCAAGCATGTGAATCAAAACAGAACCACTCACAGTAGATCCCCTAGTAACTAAATTCCTCCTCTTAGAATGCAGACTTTTGGTCCTAGCACTTCAGAGGCAGGTGGGTCTCTGAGTTCAAGGTCAGCTTGATCTATAGAGAAAGTTCAAAGACAGCCAAGGCTACACAGAGAAACCTTGTGTCTAAAACAAAACAAACAAAAACCACACAAACAATTCTCCCCAAACAAAATGTTCACCACCATGCCTGGACTTCAGCTTTTCTTCACCTAGAACTTGCTCTGTCCCAGGCTGGCCTTGAACGCAGAGATCTGCTTCCCTTAGTCTCCTGGGATTAAAGGTGTGTACAATAACCTGGGCCAAAGCATTTTATGGCCATTATTCATGGCCAAGGTCTGGATTGAAAGTCTGTGCTTTCCATCCTCAAGATCTGGATCACAAGTGTGCCCTCCATTTCTGGATTGATTAAAAGTCCAAATGAAAACAATAACCAGGTAATAAAGCCTAACATGGTATAACTATTCTTTGTTCAACTGCAAACACATAAACAATAAGCTTAGCTAGGTGGGATCCTGTCCTGAGGTCACCGTTTCCTTAATCTGTTTATCTCCTTGAACATGGGATTCAGCTCCATTTCACTTCCTGGTACCCCTTTATTCTTTGAACCATACATTTTATACTTTTCTTTCAAAGGTTGCTATGCTTAATCAAAACACTCTTCATGAGACTGAACCACAGGATAAAGTCTAAACTAGGCTTTTTGAGACTTCCTTTCTCAATGCAATACATCTGAATCTCTTCACCTTAGTCTCAGGCAGGATCCCTGAAAAGGGGCAAGAAGCAGCCACATTCTTTACCAAAACATTGTAAGAATGATCTCTAGGAAACATACTAAAATTCCTCCCCTCTGGGGCTGGAGAGATGGCTCAGTGGTTAAGAGCACTGACTGCTCTTCCAGAGGTCCTGAGTTCAATTTCCAGCACCCACATGGTGGATCTAAAACCTTCTGTAATGGGATCTGATGCCCTCTTCTGAAGACAGAGCACTTATAAAATAAAGCACATAAAATAAATACATTTAAAAATTCCTCTCCTTGGCCGGGCAGTGGTAGTGCATGCCTTTAGTCCCAGCACTTGGGAGGCAGAGGCAGGCGGATTTCTGAGTTCGAGGCCAGCCTGGTCTACAGAGTGAGTTCCAGGACAGCCAGGGCTATACAGAGAAACCCTGTCTCGAAAAAAAAAAAAATTTCCTCTCCTCTGAAATTTCTCCAGTCAGGCACCAATATTGTCTGTATTTCTTCTAGGATGGCCCATTATGTCCCACTTAAAGCATTCCTCTGCTTTCTAAATTCAAAGTCCCAAAATCCACATTCCTCTGAACAAAAACATAGGCCTAACACAGCAATATCCCAGTCCTTGGTACCAACTTCTGACACTTAGCATTCTGTCTAGACTCCACCTCCTCAGTTACCTGGCAACATCCAGGTATGCTCCTCCCCACCGTTACCTAGCAACCACCAGGTAGACCTGGCCCACTATAAAAGGGGCTGCTTGCCCCCTCCTCTCTCTCTTGCTCTCTTGATCCCTCTGTCCTCTCTCCCCTTTCCCTTCCCCTCTCTCCACATGGTCATGGCCAGCCTCTACTTTTCTACTCTCTGCCTCTCTCTGCCTCTACTACCCTCTTAACTCCCTCCCCATGCCTTGAATAAACTCTATTCTGTACTATGCGGAGTGGTTGGTCCCTCAGGGGATAGGGATGCCTTGGCATGGGCCCACTGAGACACTCCCTTCCCCCATACCTCACCACACACCCACAGAGCATATCCTATATCTCTTTATCTTTTTATAAACACATCAGTCATAGTTAGGGTTTCCATTGCTGTGAACAGACACCATGACCAAGGCAACTCTTAAAAAAGGCAACATTTAACTGGGGCTGGCTTACACTTTCAGAGGTTCAGTGCATTATCATCATGGTGAGAAGCATGGCAGCATCCAGGCTGGCATGTCACCACTGGAGGAGCTGAGCTCTTTATATGTTGTTTTGAAGGCAAACAAGAGAAGACTGTATTCCAGGAAGCTAGGAGGAAGATCTCAAAGCCTACCCCCACAGTGACACACTTCTTTCAACAAGGCCACACCTCCTAATATTGCCACTCCCTGGGCCAAGCACAAAACAAAACTAAACAAGAAAGGAAATGAAAAGAATTCTTAAACATTTTGATTCACGTGGCTTACTGCCAGTCTCTTAATTTTTATTACATTTAATGTATTTGTCCTGTTTGCACAGGCAGATGTGCTGACACAGTCAGAAGTCAGAGACAGCCTACAGAGGCGGTTTTCTCCTTCTGCCATGTGGGTTGTCAAGTTTGGCTACAGGTGAGAGGAGTAAGAGAGGCTGACTCCATGGCAGGCTTCAGACTGGCAGTTAGGAGACTAGGCCTAAGAACTGGGCAAGTTCAGGCAGGCCCAGGCAAGTGAATTACTAACAGGAAAAGCCCCAGGCTCCAGCCTTCACACCTCCATAATGGATCTGGAACACCTAGAGATAGAGCTCACCTACCCCAGAATTCCTCAGCAATAGCGTAGCCCTCACACCTCGACAATGACTTCCGCATGCTTAGAGATACGGTAAGATAAAGTTCATCTACCCTGGAATTCCAACGTGCTTTCAGTTGGGCCTGTGAGCTCACTCTGGGGTGTCTCTAGCTTGGTAATGGGAGACCCCAGCATGCTGGACTTCTGCAGAATAAAACACTTTTTGTGTGTATATACTTTCTGAGTCTGGGTGTCATTCTTCGGTGAACCATGGACCCTTACACAGGCACCTTTATCCCCAAGCCATGTTGCTGGCCCTCCTGTTGGTCCTGGCTCTCTCTAACAGTATTGTATCTTTGCTCATAACTAGATCATTCTGCAGCTTTTGCACATCCACATGAGCCTTTGGGAACACATGACTGTGCCCCGATTTCCAGGATTGAGACCCTGGAGCTTGGAAGCCTGCACTTGCAGGTTGTCTCTTTCCTTTTTTGGGGAAAGAGTCTCATGTAGCCCAGGCTGGCCTCACACTCACTGTACAGCTGAGAACGATGACTTTGAGCTTCTGCCCTCCATCTGAGTGCTGGGACGACAGTATGGCTGGTTTATGCGGAGTGAGAAAAGAGCTTGGGGCTTTGTGTATGCCAGGCAAGCACTCTTGAGTTACAAGCACTATATTAACTAAGCTACAAGCACTTTACCAATTGAGCCATAGCCACAGCCTCTGAATGAACAAATAATACCCAAGTCTTTCTCGGTGGTTTGAAGTCTGTTCAAGGAAGGTGTCACTGGGGGCTTCCTGCAGTAGATCTCCTCCCACAGCCCCTGCCTGCCTGTCCTAGGTCTGAGACCCTCGTAGGTGGAGCACAGTATCCCAAATGAAAAAGCAGGGGCTGTGGTCTCATGCACTGAGTCCAGAGCCCAGCCATGCTATGCATCTGCTGTGTGACCTCAGTCGGTGTCTATCTCTTCCTGATCTCAGCTTCTCATGCCCTGGAGCTAATCTGAGATTGCTGTGAACATGGGGCCTGCTGCCTGATTGCTCACTCAATTGTTCACTGTGGTTAGGGGGAAGGACCAGGAAGCAGGATCTGGGTAGGATGGGGTTGTACTACATCTTACTCTCGGGAGATGGTGCCATGGAACCACTCGGGAATCCCGGATTGGGAAAACAGGTCCGCCTGGGTGTGCACAAACCAGTCCAGCCGAGGGGGTAGTGGTGGGGGCAGTCTCCTGACTTCTGCCATGACATCCAGAGAAGGTGGTCACCTGGGGGGAGGAGGGAGAGGTGGGTATCTCTTCACTGTAATATTACAGCCCCTGGTGCCTCCTGCTGGGCGCCTTCCAGGTGGCCAGAGCAAGGGCAATTCCTGTGGACACAGACTTGCTTCCTGGTGACTATTATGTAGTAGGTGTTGGTATTCAGAGCCAGCTTGGCAAACCAGCTCCAAACTCAAGAATGTCACACATAGGTGACATCTGTTGCCATGACAACCCTGCATACCTTCTTGGAGCCCACTCCTCACACTCACCTGGGAACCACCTAAGGCACAGCCTAGATAAAAAGTGAACCTTTCCCCACCTTCCACCCTTCTCCCCTTCTTTTCTCTCTCCCCGCTTTGTCCCTGTTCTTTCCTAACAAAACCTCTGCCATGCAGAACTGCTTTGGCCTGGTGTGGTCTATCAGGACAGGAGCTGCCAATCCAACACAACAGCAGGCACTGCCATTGGGGCCAGAGTGAGTGTGAAGGAGGAATCAGGTGTCTTCCTCTATAGCTCTGAACCATGTTGCTTGTTTGGTTTTACATCTATCTATCTATCTATCTATCTATCTTCTATCTTCTATCTATCATCTATCTATCTATCATCTATCTATCTATCTATCTATCTATCATCTATCTATCTATCTATCTTCTATCTATCATCTATCTATCTATCTATCATCTATCTATCTATCTATCTTCTATCTATCATCTATCTATCTATCTATCATCTATCTATCATCTATCTATCTATCATCTATCTATCTATCTATCTATCTTCTATCATCTATCTATCTATCATCTATCTATCTATCATCTATCTATCTATATCTATCTATCTATATCTATCTATCTATCTATCATCTATCTATCATCTATCTATCTATCACCTATCTATCTATCATCTATCTATCTATCTATCATCTATCTATCTATAATCTATCTATCTATCCATCCATACATACATACATACATTTGTCACCCATTGTGTGTGTGTGTGTGTGTGTGTGTGTGTGTGTGTGTGTAGGTGCCTTCAGATGCCAGAAGGTGGTTCTGGATCCCCTGGAGCTGTAGTTACAGGTGGCTGTGAGCTGGGGACTGAGCTGAGATTCTCTAGAAAGAACATCAAATGCCCTTAAATGGCTGAGACATCTCTTCCCAGACAGGGTCTGTTACTGAACCTGCAGCTGCTCACAGAATTCCAGGCTCCTCCTGTCTCCCAGAGCCCCACCCTGTGCTGGCTGGGTGTCTGTTTTGTTCTGTTGTCTCCATGCTTGCTGAAAGGCGAACTTGAGCTCAGACTCTCAAGCTCACACGGGAAGTATTTCACTGACTGAGTGGGTTTTGGCTTGGTTTGAGACAGGCTAGCCTGAAACTCACTGTGTAGCCAAGGCTGGTGGCCCAATCCTGCCTATACTTCCCTGGATGACAGCTGCTTTTGTGCACTGTTAATTCATACTCATGCTAGTACTGCTAGGCTTTGGGACACAGAGCTGGAGAAGTTACATAGGCCTAAAATACAAAATAGTATTAAGTTTTAAGTTGAAGAAAAACCAGATGAAAGACTGTAAGGAGCCGGCCCTTAAACAGGACCAGCTCCATTTTGTAATAGGAAACTTGTAGAGACTAGTCTGGTACTTGTAAAGACAAGTCTGGAAATGAAGCTGTGCTGAGATAACCAGACACGAGTGGTTATCTGCCATGCACGTTAGGAGTAACGCCAAATCCGACATAAAAGAGGAGCCCTGTCAGAGCACTTCATCACACTTGTAGCCATGACTGGCCAATGTGATCCTCCGGACAAAGCCTCCTCAGCACCTGGTCATCAAAGAGTTAACTGAGAGACCAACACCTCCAGCTTCTTCATGGTCAAGCACCCTAAGAGGTCAAATTATCTGGAAGCCACAGCCTGACCCCACCTTCCCAGACTCCGGACTTGTAACCCAAAACCATCAAAAGGACCCAGGTCCTATAATCCATGAATGAATGATGTGTTTATTGCTATGCTTATTTCTTTGGTAATTAACAACTTGTTATGTGTGTTAATTGTGCATATTGTCAGAGGCAACCTATAGGAAATGTGACAATATCTTGTTGTAGCAATAACCTTAGCATTTGTGTTTGTGTTTGCTTGCTGTGCATTATCATTAAAGAAGTAACTGAATCCCACAACCTCTGTCTCTTGGTGTACTCTCTCTTCCCTCTTGAGGAGCTGATGATCTCACAGTCAAATCCAGTATACGATCCCTGAGAGGAGCAGGATCTGTCGCTCCTCTCTCGCCGGGGAATTCAAATCCCTTATCCATAGCCTGCTCATAACAGATAAGAGTCCCTGCTCGAAACAAAGATCTTCCCTATGGCTTCTCAGTCACTCTTCGTTCAGTCCCTATGGCTTCTCAGTCACTTTTCATTCAGTCCCTATGGCTTCTCAGTCACTCTTCATTCAGTCCCTATGGCTTCTCAGTCACTCTTCATTCAGCCCCTATGGCTTCATTCAGTCCCTATGGTTTCATTCAGTCCCTATGGCTTCTCAGTCCCTGGACTTGAGCTTTGAAGTCCCTACCTCCAGCCCCTGGGCTTTGGAGAAAGCCTTTGGCACATCAGGGAGGGGTCTGTTGACAAAGGGTGGCTGATGCTGACTTCACAGAGAACAAACACATTCCCTCAGGGTTGTGGCCTCAGAGGAGAGTCATTTATTGAATCCACTTATGAACACTTGATAACCAAGCTCACACTATCTCTGTTCTGTCCCCTAGCCTTCCTGGTCTTCTCTCTCTGTCTGTCTCTCTGTCTGTCTCTCTGTCTGTCTCTGTCTGTCTCTCTCTCTGTCTGTCTGTCTGTCTCTCTCTCTGCCTCTCTCTCTCTCTCTCTCTCTCTCTCTCTCTCTCTCTCTCTCTCTCTCTCTCTCTGTCTCTCTCTCTCTGCAAGAGTTCCACAGAAGTGAACAATCTTTGTCTAGTTCTGTCTTTTCAGGCTGGGATCTCCCCAGGATAAGGCCTGGGGTGGCAGGTATCAAAGAGTCTGGAATTAGAGGCAGATGGTGGTCTGGCTTCAAATTCTACCTTACACCGTTGCTGTGTGATGAAGTCACAAACTTAACCTCTCTGACAGAAGCCTTAACTTCTGTCATTAAGAGTCATTAAGGGAATGGCTGGGACAGAGTATTATATATATAGTCAATACATTATACATCATGTAAACAGTTTTTTTTTTGTTTTGTTTTTTTTCGAGACAGGGTTTCTCTGTGTAGTCCTGGCTGTCCTGGAACTCACTCTGTAGACCAGGCTGGCCTCGAACTCAGAAATCTGCCTGTCTCTGCCTCCCCAGTGCTGGGATAACAGGCCTATTCTACCAAGCCCAGTTTACACTATGCTGGAATATACTCCAGGCTATTGCTATACACCTGTAATCTGGCATTTTGGAGGCAGAGGCAGGTTTACCAGGAGTTCAAAGCTGGCTAGGGATACACAGGGAGATTCTGAATTAAAAATGAAAGCCAGACGTAGTGGTGCACCTCTGCCATCTTAGTATTTACAGGTGGAGACAGAAGGGTCAGAAATTTCTAGGCCAATCTCAAAAAAAAAAAAAAAAGGCGCTGATTTTTTTTTTTTTTTTTTTTTTTTTTGGTTTTTCGAGACAGGGTTTCTCTGTGTAGCCCCAGCTATCCTGGAACTCACTCTGTAGACCAGGCTAGCCTCGAACTCAGAAATCCACCTGCCTCTGCCTCCCAAGTGCTGGGATTAAAGGCGTGCACCACCACTGCCCGGTGAATTTTTTTTCTATTACTTGGTTTTTATTTATATAATTGCTTATAGTTTTTTATTTTAATTTTTATTAATGTGTATGTGTGTGCCTCTCTGTGTGTGAGACTATGTGTGAGTATAATAGCCATGTGTGTGCAGGTACCACTGGAGGCCAAGAGAGAGCACTGGATGCTCAGAGATGGATGTACAGGGGCTGTAAGCTTATACAGGTGCTGGGAACTGAAGTCAGCAGGCGCGCTGGAGAGCAGTGTGCACTCCTAACTGCTGACTTTCTAGCCTCATTCTAATAGTTAAAATTTTTGAGTGTGTAGGGGGGGTGTCCATGTGTACAGACATATGTGTGTGTTTGTTATGTGTAGGCCTGAAGCTGACATAAGTGTCTTTCTCACTCACACATGTGTATGCAGCTGTGTGTGTCGGCCTGCAGCTGACATCTGTGTCTTCCTCACGCACTCTCCACCGTATGGATTGAAGCAGAATCTTTGAATGAACCGGGAGCTGGCAGCCTTGCCGACTGTGATTGGATGGCTTCCCTAGGAAGGTCTCCCTCCACCTCCCTCCACCTCCCACACTCTGGGATGACAGCTGCCCATCCTGCCTGCCAGGCTTTTACATGAGTTCTAGGGATCTGAATTCAGGTCCTTAAGATCCTCTGCCAAGTGCTTTATCTTCTGAGCCATCTTGCCAGCCCTCAACTTTTTACTTTCTCATTATTTCTCTTTTTCTCCTTTCTTCCTTCCTTCCTTTCCTCCTCCTCCTCTTCTTCCTCCTCCTCCTCTTTCTCCTCCTCCTTCTCCTCCTTCTTCTTTTTTGTCTTTGTTTTCTTCAAAACAGGTTTTCTTTGTAGAGCCCTGGCTGTACTGGAACTCCCTCTAAAGACCAGGCTGGCCTCAATCTCAGAGATCCTCCTGCCTCTGGAGTGCACCCCCTCCCCCCAGTTTACTTCCCTTTTTTATTTCATTATTCACTGTGCTTCACAGGTGAAGACAGACAGACAGACACTTGCCTCAGTGCTCCACTTCTGACAGTGTTCAAGCAGATTGGAGTCTAGGCCTCCAGGAGTGCCACAGGCAATCCTGTCCAGGCTGTCACCTACCAACACATCCCAGAATGTGTAACCATCATGAAGCAGATACATCTGTCTCTGTAAAGTACAGCTGAACCCAGACACACGCTAGCGCAGGAAGTTTATTCTCTTCCTACCTCAGAATACTCCTACAAGTCTTTCAAGACTCAGTACAAATGTCCCTTCCTCCAGCCAGCCTCCTCGCCTCCCCTGCTCAAACAAACCCTGGCCATATTCCCTTCCCTCTCCCTGAGCTTCCCAGTTAACGTCCTTCCTATGGCAGCTCTAGTAGGACCCCATCGGGCTGAAGGGTCTTGATCTGTCCCTGCCTTCCCCTCGTGGTTTTCTTGGGACACCCGGTTTCTGTGAATCAGGTCTCACTATGTAACTGAAGCTAGCTAGTCTCAAACTTGTAATACAGCCTGCCTTGGCCTCTAGAGCGCTGGAATGACACGTGTGGATAGCCATGCCGGAGTTCAGAGCTTGCAATGCTTCCCTCCTCTGGTAAACCCTTCTCTCATCTCCTAGCACCACCCCACCCAGTCCTGGAGCCCCAGAGGCTCTGCAGCTGGGGCACACTGGGATGCAGGGATGCAGGGATGCAGGGATGCAGGATGCATACCTTGGACAGGCTGGGCTGTGGGCTGTGTTCCGAAGGGCTCTCGAGCTGCCGCTGGAGTCTAAGTTTCGGTTCAGGGTCTACTCGTCAGAGGGGCAGGGCCGGCAGCCTCAGGCAGTTCCTGTTTCCTCCAGCAGGTGAACAGGGCGGGACCAGAATAACGCCCAAGGCTGTAGCTGTTCCTGCCAAGCCTTTGCTCAGTACCTCCTCTACCAGCTCTATGGAACCGCTGAGACAACTGCCACCCTTCTTCCCAATATGGATGATATCTTCTAGTTGTTTTTTTTTTCTTGAGACACAGTTTTATGCACTTCAAGTTGGGATACTGAAGATCTTGAACTCTGCCTTGACCTCCTGAGTGCTGGCAGGCCTGTGCCATCATGCCAAGAACCAGTGATAAGCAAACACTCTGACTGAGCTACAAGCACTTTACTTACTGAGCTATAAGCACTCTACCTACTGAGCTACATCCCCAGCCTCTTACAGCAGCCTTGAAGTAGTCATAGGTCAAGAAATGATTATCAGAGAGTGAAAGGTGTAAGTAGAAGAGGCTGCTGGTGTGGGGGGGGGGGCGAGGGAGATAGGGTACAGGAACAGTGTGCAAACAGGGAATAGCATGTGCAAATGTCCTGAGGTTGGAAAGAGACATAAAGGACAGACTCGCTGCACACATAGCACCTATCATGCCTTTCTTTGCAAAACACATTTGAAATGACATTCTACAATCATGTTGCCCTCTAGGCCAACATCAAGGCATGATAGCTTGGGTTTGTAGTTGCAGCACTCAGAAGCCTGAGGCAGGAGGGTTTAGGGTTCCAGGCTAGCCTGGGATACATAGGGATGTTCAAACTCAAAATCAAACAAAAACCAAAGCAAGAAAGCAAAACTGGAGTAAACCATAGAGTTCTATTTTCATCTATTTTATTCCTTTTTTCTTTCCCCTTCTGTTTTTTGTTTATTTTTCTAAACCAGGATCTCACAGCATGCTGGCTGGCCTGGAATCCACTACATCGCTGAGAATGATGCTGAAACTCTGCGTTTCCTGCTTCTACCTCCTGGGCGCTGGAGTCATAGGTGTGCCCATACTTTCTGTGGTACTGCGATGGGATCCAGGACTTCTTTCACTAGGTGAGTACCCTGCCAACTGAGCTGCAGACCCAGTCCATGCCTGACTTTTCTTCTGACTTTAAAATGAAAACCATAGGCTCTTATGATAGACCCACTCAAGGGCCCAAGAGTTCTGCTGAGTCAGCACATCCGGGCAAGTTATTGTGACTTAATGCAGTGACATGCCTAAGCTCAGGGTGAGATGTGCTTTCACTGGCTGGGCCAACTTCAGAGAACTCCTTGACCTCTCCAATCCTCCTTACACTTTGTTGCACATGGCTGGTCCTGTGGGGGTTATCCTGTACAAGTGGTCAGTCTTAGAGAACACGAGATGCTTTGCCTTGGTTCTTTGTCCACCCCATTTCTTCTGAGCAGCTTGTGGGCTGTGGTCCTCTAGACTAACATCTTCCTGTTAGTCGGTCAAAGTAGAATTCCCCCACCCTCATGTCTGTGGTTCACAGATGGACACAGCCACAGCCCCCAAAGGAAGTGAAAGGAAAACTATCCTCAGGACCCTCAAGACCACGTTCTCAGCACAAAGATTTATTTACTCCAGAGGGACAGAGGGCAGGGATAAGGGACAAAGACAGGAAGCAGAGGAAGAATGGAAGAGAAACAAAGGAGAGGCAAGGGAGGGGGTGAGGGGTATTTGTCCAGGAAGGAGACAAAGTCTTGCCTCTGGATAGAGGAGAGTGATATGGCTCACAGGCATACGTCGGTTCATAAAGGGGAAACCCTGTCTTAGGATGAGGTGTTTAATTTTAATTGGGTGTGTTAGCTAGGTGAGCCAAAGGGGGCTTTTGATTGCTGGACTTCATACTTTGAACTTGGTAGTCAGCCTCAGGAGGAGGAAGTGGCCAAATAAGGGAACAGATCTTGGGGGTTGGGGGGGGGGGCTTGCTTTAGGAAAGTAATCTAATGGAACTTTTAGCAAGACAAAAAGGTATGTGGGAGAAGGGCCAGGCCTGCCAGAGCCATGCTCCCCATGCTGGAGCTGGGCAGAGCCCCTTCAAGAGGGAAGGGGATAGTGGTGGCCACCAAGGCAGGGGAAACAGGGACACTTGATGGAAGATAACAGGGTGGGGTGCAGCGACACCTGAGGTGCCTCTCCCTCCAAGTCAGCTTCTTCCATTGACATCATAGGCTGAGCTTCAGTGGACAGCCTTTATGGTATATGGCTACAGCTGAGCTGTATCAGCTTGGTCCAGACTCCAGGGACAAGGGCGGGGGTCCAGGGACTGGGTAGGGGTCCCATTTCACTCTTCTTTCTGCACAGGGCACCTGTTTCTCCTCTTTCCTTTGTTCATTTTACAAACACTGACTGGCACCAGTTCTGTGCAGGTACCACACTAGATGCCAAGGCTGGAGTAGAAGGAACGACGGGGTACCTCTCATCTATGAACTTTGAGAGGCTGAGGCAGGAAGGAGGCTACATATGGACCAGTCTGGGCTATACCCTATCTCAAAAGGTGTGTGTGTAAGGAGTGAGCACAGCTCAAGGGGTAAAGGGACTTACTGCCAAGCATGATGCCCTGAGTTGAGTTTGATCCCCAGGAATCACAAAGTGACTCCTGACAAGCTGTCCTCTGACCACTGAAAACACACACACGCACATGCACACACACACACACACACAGAGAGAGAGAGAGAGAGAGAGAGAGAGAGAGAGAGAGAGAGAGAGAGAGAGAGAGAATACATTTTTTTAAGTTAAAAAATAAAGAAGTCAATAAAGAAGTCCAGCCTGGTCTACAGAGTGAGTTAGTTCCAGGACAGCCAGGGCTACACAGAGAAACCCTGTCTTGAAAAACCAAAAAAAAAAAAAAAAAAATCTACTACTTCAACATTATCACACTGGACTTGAGCTGTGAGCCCAAGAACCCTGGAAGGACACACAAAACATAACACCACACCCTGGAATATTACTCAACAATGAAAATGAAGGAAGTTCTGCCCCATGCTATAACTTGTATAAACTAAAAACTTGCTACTGCTGGGTATGATAGGCCTCACCTTTAATGTCAGCACATAGGTAGCAGAGGTAGGTAGATCTCAGTGAGTTCAAGGCCAGAGTGCTCTACATATCAAGTACAGGCTAGCTGGGGCTACATAAGGAGACGCTGTCTCAACAAAAGAAACCAGCAGAAGCTGTTGCTGAGCAACAGCAGCCAGGCACAGAAGGGTGTGTGTAATTACACTGGCACACAGCGAGGCAGGCAAATCTATAGACAGGAAATAACAGGCTGCCAGGAGCAGCTCACCAAGGGCAACAGGCATGAATGTGGTACAGTCACACATGCAGGGAAAACAAACACATAAAAATAAACTTAAAAGGCCTCTTCCAAACCCATAAGTAGCTCTCACTGGTCTCGGCTCCTGTCACAACTTCCCCAGTACTGGGAACAGCCTAACGATCTGCAACTTAATGCCCTTTCTATCTTGGATTATCTTCCTTATCACTCTATTATGTTGAGAAAAACATCTCTGCTCAGACTCAAGTAAAAATTTCTGGTTTCTTTGAAAACTCAGTTATATCAAATGATGTTTTGCTGAAGCAGACACGAGAAGACACATGATGTTTAAAACGAATATAAAAATGACCCCACAGAGTGGGGCAAGGTGCTGGCATTGGCTCGCCTTGCTCTGCCTGGCTAGTTTTCACTGACAAAGCTCTTGTATTGGTTTGCTGATCTTTGCTTGTCATAACTCCACAGAGAGTAACTTGCCAAAGAACTTCTTGTGATATAACAGAAGCCCATGCACTCTGGGCTGATTGGCAGTCTCAGTTTCTTCTCAATTGTACTGCTGGTGCTGATTCGTGTGTGAGTGGTGATTGCCGAGTGACTGCTGGTAAAAATGATTGAAATAGCCCCAAAGAACTATTTCTAAACAGGTCCACAACCCCCGTTTCCTATTAACTTTTCTTTTTCACAGCCTCTTGTAGGTGGTAGCTGGAAGGGAGGTTGAAGTGTTTAAGAACTCTTGAAAAATCTAAGTCAAGCCGGGCAGTGGTGGCGCACGTCTTTAACCCCAGCACTTGACAGAGACAGGCAGATTTCTGAGTTCGAGGCCAGCCTGGTCTACAGAGTGAGTTCCAGGACATCCAGGGCTATACAGAGAAACCCTGCCTCGAAAAACAAAACAAAACAAACAAAAAATCTAAGTCAAAAGGGACAAGCTATTATTTTCAGCAGACCCTGGGCACCAAGCCTCACCCTTGCAGCCTGCTTGGTGAACACTGGTTTGAAATCCAGATCACACATATGCCCGACAGGACCAGATATGCTGAGCTCATTCTGAGGGCCAACTAATGCTACAGGGATATCAGTTATGATGCAGATAGGAGGCAGTTTTTGTTCGAGTGTTTGGCCTGCATTATGCATGTCTATGCACCATGTGTGTGCGTAGTGTTGGAGCCCAAATGTGTCAGTCCTCTGGGACTGGAGTTAAAGATGGTAGAGAGCCACCAGGTGAGTGCTGGACCACCAGGTGGGTGCTGGAAATAGAACGAGCTTCTGTTAGAGCAACAAGTGCTCTTAACCACCAAGTCATTTCTTCAGCCCCTACAGGAAGGATCTTAAGAGTGCCACTTTGTACAGAGCACTTTGTAACCACTGTTTACATCTTGGTTGTCTTTCTCACCCATTCCCCATCTTCCTGGCATCTTCCTCCCACCTGTGAGGTGGGAGCTGAGACCCCTTCATGGCCCACAATGATATGAGCCAGCTGGGTTTGGTGAAGATGCCTGCCATTTCAACATTAAAGAGGCTGGCTAAGTCAAGAACAGCCTGGGCTACATGGTGGTCCTCTACAAAAACCAAAAACACCCCACAGAAAGCAGTTGCAGCTCGGTGGGACCTTTAAGAGGCAGGTCCTTTGGGGAGTATGGTGGAGTGCTTCTCAGGTAGGAAGCAGGCAGTAAGAGCCAGAGGGGTGCATGTGTGCAGTCAGGGTTTGCTGGACATGACAGGGTTACAAGTAGCTCACTGA